CACGGTTATGGAGAAAATACAGGAACTGCAAAATAATGTTGAGACGTGAATGAGAAGAAAAAGAACCTGAGCAAAACTATATTAATAATAAAGTTACTTGATCTTTTTGCTATTCTACTTTCTCCCAAATGAATCGGTGATAGTAGCAATTACTAAAACCAATTTCAAACTCCAGACAACCCTGCCCTTCTGAAGACCCCAGACTGGCCTTAGAACAGGTGCAATTCAGTGTGTCCACGACTGTCTTCCCCTAACTATAGACCTACAATGTTTCTCACCTCATCACAGATCAGCTCTCCCTTCTTCCTTCCCACTCCCAAATTTCCAAACGCTGAAAATGGTGTTATCTAAGTTTTATTAATTATAACAAAAACAACACACACTATGTGAGCATTTATTTTTGGCCACTCAGGAGAGGAAGTTTCAAGACTCCTCTCTACACAGCTTTAATCTTCCTCCAAGGAGAATCACACTCTCTCCTGGAGATTCTCCAGCACTTTGTACTGACCCTAAGGCCTAATGAGCAAGTTTCCAAAGGAGCTGGAAGACACTTGGCTGAGGTCCTTCTAGAGGTACCACGCGGACCACTGGCGGTAGCGAGCGCCTAAGACAGCCTCTTTCTGTTCTTGCTTCTTAAGTATTTGCTCCTTAAATATTGGGGCGAATGCTCTCAAATCCTCACATTTTCCTTTGGTTTTCTCTCTCTTAAAAATGGTAATATCACTGGCAGCATGGGAACTTAGCTGAAATAGTCGGAGCGGGGCTTCTGGCTCGCTTTCATTCCATTACACTCAGATGAACTTAAGTCAAGTAACAGTCACTGAATTCCCTTGGATATCTGTCGGTAACAAGACACCCGACGGAGGTAATGAGGGTGTATGCATCCTTAGATCTGCAGGACAAGAACAGCACCCTGAATTACTCAGAGTCCTCAAACCTTGCCGTGTGCAGTGCATGGCGCGGAGTGTGTTGTTCTGCAGTGCCATAAGGGAGACGACGTTTGAATGATAGGAAAATGAAAATCTAGCAAGATTAAATAACTTGCCTGATGTCACAAAAACTACCAAGCAGGAGAATCAGGACTTACGCCCAGCCCAATGATGCTAAAATCTGTACTTTTCCAGTATTCTACCAGACCCTGTCATTTTATCCCCCTCTCCACACACTATCGGAAACACATCGATCGTGCCTCTGCTTCCTAAGACAAATAGTCTGTCCCACATCTAAGTTTTCTGTCTACATTAGTTTTTGGAAAGTTCGTTTCCAGTATGATCTATTTGGAAGATCACTAGGTAACCCAGCTCATTCAATCATTCATTCTTTTTCAATCTAAAAAGAAAACCAGAAAATAATATTATGTTATACCAAAATCTGACATGTTTAAGGAGTAGGCAGATTACTTATTCAAATACTGAGCTTACTAAATGTTTCTCTATATCTTATCCACAGGTTAAAACAAATTTATTTCATTTTTTAATTTAAAATGTATTTTAAACAAGAGTTACAATATACATAATTTAGTGACTGAAGCCATGTCTTTATAATAATTCTGTCACCATTAACATAGCAAAATACTGGTTAGTAAGCATTCCAGTAAAGGCACAAATAAAGCAGTTTTGCTACATTAGTCTTATTTTACAAAGAAGCACAAATAATCCAATTAATATAAAAATATATTCCTTAAACATTTACTTTGGCCTAAAATGGTTATATTTTTACATACTGTATGAAGTTTTAACTGAGAACAAATAAAATGAGCAATCTTTGTGAATCAGCTTCTAAAATTTCTATAAAAATTATTTTCAAAACATCTTCACTAATATTGTGAAGAAGTATACGCGGTGTTAGAAGTAGGTAGTGAAAAGAAAAATATAATCAAAGAGGAAGAGCAGCAGGAGGTTATCCAACCCAATTTGTTTCATGTGCAAAGGGCTTATTTTATAGCTTCTCATTTTATGTATAAAGTCACTTAGCATTAAGAATATTTTAAAGGATAAAATGTACACAAAAGTTCTATATTCAAAGATTTTAAGATTTTTTTTTATTGTTAGTAGCTAAATTCAAAGAAAACCCTGAAAGGACACTTTGTAAAAGTTTTTAAAGGAAGATTTGCGCTGAGAAAGCGGAGTATGCAGAGTGAAGTCTCACCTTCACCATCCCCGTGAGCTCAGAGCACAAGTGGGTTCTCAGAATCCCAAAAGACACATAAAGAGAAAATGGAAAACAAAAAATCTAGAAACCTTCAAACTTTTCTGGAATAAGCTAGTGTAGTGATAGGCAGACACTGCTTTGATAGTCGTTACTCTTCCTGTAGGGAAGTTCGCACTCATCAGACTTGTCCAAGATTGCTGCCTAATCTTGGTTCCATGACTCGGCAGTTTTCTAAGTATGCTTCCCATACTTAGGAAAGAGCAGACTCAACATCCCATGGAAACTTGTTCAGAAATACACATTTTCAGGCTCTATCCCATTTCAAGTGAATGAGAAAACAGGAGTGGGGTGTGGGTAGGAGAGGGCTGGCAATCTGTATTTTGCCAAGCCTCAGGGTGACTCTGGTGTACAATGAAGTCTGAGAGCTACTACCACAACCAAAAAAAGAAATGTAAAGACACTAGAGAAGACTCTGAGAACAATTCAGTTTAAGGAAAAGCTTGAAACTGAATAAACAAAGGGATAAGGTACATGGTTTTAGCGATAAGAAACCTGCGGCAGTGACCTTTACAAGTCTTCAAGTATATGAAGAATTATCCCCAAGGGAAGGTACCCAGGCGTTCTCCATTTCCCCCCGATGGGTGATATGGACATTCTGAACTTTAAAGTTACAGCAGAAGAAATTTAAATTAAAATATAATCAAAATTTGCTGACACAAAATATTGTTAAACATTAAAATGAATTGCTAAAGAGTTTCTCGAACCTTTTCTCTGAGTATCTGCCTCAAAAACTGGAGTAGGTTGGAAACTCTTATGGTTCTGAACAAACACCGTGGTTGAGTAGTACTACTCAGCCAGTCAAAAGGATGAAATACTGCCATTTTTTACCACGTGGATGGACTTGGAGAATATTATGCTAAACAAAATAAGTCAGTCAGAAAAAGCTAAGAACCATATGATTTCACTGATATGTGGGATAGAAAACCTAAACTCATAGACAAAAACAACAGTATCGTGGCTACCAGAGGGAAGGGAACTGGGGGGTAGTAAAGGGTAAAGGGGGCCAAATACATGGTGACTGGAATGATTTTATTTTAGGTGGTGGGCACACGATGTAATATACAGATCACGTATCAGAGAATATCACATAGGTTTCAAGTGTATAGGTATACTTGAAACCTATATGATATTATTACCCATGTCATACCAATAAGTTTAATTTAAAAAAAAGAAGTTTGGCCTGGCCAGTGTGGTTCAGTGGACTGAGCATCATCCCATGGACTGAGGGGTCCTGGTTCCATTCCAGGTCAGGGCACATGCCCGGGTTATGGGCTCAATCCCTAGTAGGGGGCGTGCAGGAGGCAGCTGATAAATATTTCTTTCTCACATTGATGTTTCTATCTCTCTCTCCCTTCCTCTCTCTAAAAAGATCAATAAAAACATATTTAAAAAAAAGAAATTTGGCCCAGCAAAAAAATAAATACCATCTACTGCATAAATAAATATTTAGAAATGTGAAAAATATATTGTTACATAATAGACCTTGCAAATTACGTAAATTTAAAATATCTGAGGTGCAATAACTATTTTATATCTGAGTGTTAAAGAAAGAATACAGCCTGGCCAGTGTGGTTCAGTGGATTGAGTGTCAGCCCATGGACTGAGAGGTCCTGGTTCGATTCCCAGTCAGGGCACATGCTCTGTTGTGGGCTCGATCCTCAGTAGGGGACATGCAGGAGGCAGCCGATTGATGTTTCTCTCCCACGTTGATGTTTCTATCTCTCTCCCTTTCTCTCTCTCTAAAAAATCAATAAAAACATTTTAAAAAATAAAAATAAGAATATGTATTCAAACAGAAAGCATACACATTGAAAATACTTATTTAAATTAAGAATAATAATTTAATAGTTCAAAAAGTGACCAATAGCACAAAGACCAATAGCATATGACCAAAATGCACATAGAAAATTCTTGGATCACACATTTACATGCCTTTTCAAATAAGAAGAAGAAATCAAACAGAAATGAGTAAGAAGTAAAAGGCTGAATTAATTGGCATTTAAAAACTGTATCCTTGTATTTTAAAAAGATCACTGAAGCCCTGGCTGGTTTGGTTCAGTGGTTAGAGCATTGGCCTGTGGTCCAGAGAGACCTGGGTTCAGTTCCCACTAAGGGCACGTACCTCGGTTGCAGTTTGGCCCCGGCCACAGCCCCGGCTGGGGTCGTGCAGGAGGTAGCCACTCAATGTGTCTCTTTCACGTCAATGTTTCTCTCTCTCTCTTCCTCTCTCTCCCTCCCACTCTACCTGAACAAAAATGGAAAAATGTCCTCAGGTGAGGATAAAATAAATAAATAAAATAAAATAAAATAATCACTGAAAAAATTATAACATAAATATATATATTTATGCATATGTAAAATGCACAATGATAGAAACAACCAAATGCATGGCTTTGACAAATTAGTCCTAATATTCTCTTATACTCATATACTTTTATATTAATAAGTTCACTAAATAAACATAACAGGTAACTAAACTAAAAAGGTGTGAAAAGGTCCTTTTCCTGAGCTCTGATAATCTCTAGTAAGTCTCATGCAAAAACATGCCATAATTATAATTCTTAAAAGAAAAGTATTTTTAAAATGTTAAAAGTGACAAAAAGTTTGAAAGTTTAAGTCCTAACAGTTTTCTCTGTGTACAGGAAATCACTGTAATGATGACTGCGACCCACTTACCTCCAAAATATTTTGCAGTTGCAGTTTCTACTGACAAACATAATTCCAGTAATTTAGTGAATGTTCATATTTATTGCAGTTAGCATAATTTAGGAAGTTAACTTTTTTTTTACCTTTTCTACTTTTCCACCATTGATGTCACTGGGGAGGAACTTCTTGCCAATTGTTCTCAAGTCTGTCTAAAATAAAAATATTATTATTAAAATATAATTATAAAGAAAAGTAAATCTAAATCTGATCTCAATCACAAACAACAAATGAAATTACTTAAGGTTTGTGGAGAAAAAATGTAAATAAATGTCTTTCAGCTGATTATGAGATCTACATATGTAATCAATCTTTTCAAACATCACAATTTCATACATGTTATCTGAAATGTATCAGTAGGTTGAACATTAATATACAAATAGCCTTAATTCTAGTCCTATGCAGAGACATGAAAACACATTGTTCTATAGGCTAAAACATAACAAAGCTATATAACATACAAGTATGCCAGGGAACAATTCCACAGTAACAGCAAGCAGTTATAGTTAAGACTTTCTCCATAGTAAAGATTAATTTAATTTGCTTAAACAAATTATAAAAACTGAAGTTGATAAACAAATAACTAACTGCATGAAAATGCAGAAATACATTACTCAGCAAACCAAAAAGCAAAGCATAAAAAGGGAAAACTTAAGGAAGGCCCATCGTAAAGTTATCACATTTCTGACATAAAAACAGAACTTCAACTACACAGTCTACATAAACAGCAGACCTTTTAAGGATTTTTGTCTTTAGGAAGTAAAAACTAAAGGAATGGCAAGAAATTTGTTTAGAGGAAAACTGTCAATACTCATGAAAAAGGCCTGATTATTTTTTATCTTTTTTTTCTTTTTATCCTCACCAGAGGACATTTTTTTGCATTTATCTTCAGATAGAACAGGAGGGAAAGAGGGAGGAAGAGAGAGAAACACATCGAGTGGTTGCCACCCATACGACCCCAACCGGGGCTGGGGACAAACTGCAACAGAGCTACGTGCCCTTAGCGGGAACCAAACCCAGGACTCTCTGGTCCGTGGGACGACACTCAAACTACTGAGCCAAACCAGCCAGGGCAAAGGCCTGATTATTTAAGCTATTATCTTGATGACTGAGAGCTTAAGGTTAGATTAATAAATTTCTATAGTTTTGCTATTCTTTAAAATGTAGAAAACAGTAGCTCTTCATCTCCTTAAGAGCAAAATAAAAGAAAATAGACTTAGAGTGTCTTTAATTACATAAATTATAAGGGAGAAATTTATGTTAGACCTAAGGAGAAAATACTAGATCATTAAAATTACTATAATGAATACATAGAAGTAGGACAGTCTTATCTGTCTATCATTAAACACCTATAATAACAGAATATTCTCTTAATGAAATATCCATTGTGGTCAGCTTAAGAAAGAAGTATATGTTATACAGTCCGCACAGATCTTTCCAGTCTTTTACTACCATGGTTGTTATCAGGCTAAAAGGAGACAATGTATAGTTCCCACTATAATACAGGGATCAATCTTAAACTAAAACTCACCTAATGGAACTGTCAGGCACACTAAGCCCCAAATTCAAACATGTATGAAACAATGCATTGGACATGTCTTTTTTGCACCCTCCATCCAATGACTGAGTGAAAGAATCACAAGCCATACTTCAAATCACACACAGCCTTTTCACTTTGAAAATACTGAGCAACATAAGGAACAAATACTTTCCTACACTATCTTTCCCTATATGAGGATTATTTTGAAGATTAAATGTTAATGCAAGTGAAGCACTTGGCATAATGACTTAAAAGAGTGAGCATTTAATTAATGTTAACTATCATGTTTATTTCAGTGAATATAAAACATGTACATTTTATCATCTGAAAATGTATAACCATTAAGTCAATAATACAACTAACAGTTCATAAAAGCATAGGCATTATTTTGAAGTCACTCAAAGGCTGAAATATTTAAATATATATGAGAAACAGAATATATACACATTTCATGATACACCATGGTCCCTCATTTCTGGTTTTCATCAATAATTATGAAGTAAACCAAATGAAAATGAGGCATCAATATAAATTAGAAACGAGCATTAGACTAAAATTCTAAACTATGATTCACTGCAAACTGTAATTAACCAATATGATCTTGGACACTGTCACCAATACTCCAAGTCCAGCTCATTTATTCCTGTGTAAAATGGAGTGTTGGGTGGGGAAGAATCACCAACTCTATCTCACAAAGTTATTGTCAGGCTTAAAGGAGACAATGTATTCAAAGTCTACATAACTTTTAAAGTACTATACATGCATATAATTAATGTAATTTCATTGTTTTTTAGCAAAATGAAAATGACCTACAAAATCTTTAAACATCCTAAATTCAAAGTCAATTCATAGTACAAACAAAAACAATTTTATGATCCAGATGCCATTATACAGAATCACTAGGTCACATAGCTCAAAAAATACACTTATATTGAACATAAAAAATTATGTAGAAGAAATATTTAGCTTTTAAATACAGATTCATGTGTGCACACACACAAAAGATTCCTATTTATTCAAGTTAAGTCCAAGTGAATGCTTATTTGGCAAGCCATTTAATATTATACAAAATCTTAAAAAATATATATGTTTTAAATTTTTACTAATACATAGTATTCAGTAATTTAGGACTGGGCTAGCACTTAATTTTTTTTTTTAATATTTGAAACCAAAACTACATGGCTGGATTTCAATGTCATTTCTTAAAATCCTTACTCCCCAACCTACAAAGTAAAAAATTAAGAACCCTCTTTTTTAACATAAAAATCTGCACAGAAAATAGTTACGCAGCAGCTCTGAGGCTACTCTCTCTCATAAAGTTAGCCCTAGACTGGCATCTGGGAGCTCTGCACTTGAACCATTTCCTAACTAAAAATGTGGTTCATTGCCTAGACTATGTGTATAAACATTGTGATTTATGGTGAATACCTGCTTTTTTTGAGGAGAGGGGAGTCTAGAACTTGGTTTCATGTTAGGTGGAGTACCTTCATGAGCAGTCCATTATAAACCTTGGGTACTAGTGTCTAACAGACTTCACTAGGCAGAAACACTGGACACATCTTATTGCACTGTCCATTGCTGGTTAAAAGAACAAGCTCAGCAGTTGGTTAGAATATTGTCCCAATACACCAAGGTTGTGGGTTTGATCCCTGATCAGGGCCTATACAAGAAACAACCAGTGAATGCAAAAATAAGTGGAAAACAAATCAATGTTTCTCTCTCTCTCAAATCAATTTTTTTTTAGATTGTTTTAAAAAAGGAACCAGCTCAATATGTCCCCAACATGAGAAAGAGAAGATAAAAAAATTTATGCATAAATTAGTATCCCCATATGTAATAAGTTATATATAATAAGAATCATTAATGCAAGTCTTTCTCAACTAGTAATCAACAATCACTCAAAAGTTGAAAAAAAATAATTCAACAGAAATACTGTAAATGCCTGTTGTATTTAAAGAGATAAACTTGGAAAGTACATTATTTGGTGTACCTTCATCTTGATTAAAAATTGGGGTTTTTTTCCCCCTGTTAAATGGTATGATAACTTAGGTTGGATTGCTTGATTATATCTTTCAGAGAAAATTATAAAGACTAATTAATTCATTAAAATAATGGTCATCGTCCAGCCAGTGTGGCTCAATGGTTGAGTGTTGACCCCATGCACCAAGAGGTCACCAGTTTGATTCACAGTCAGGGCACATGCCCAGGTTGTGGGCCGGATCCTCGTTGGGGGGGCATGCAGGAGGCAGCCAATTGATGTTCTCTCTCATTGATGTTTCTCTCTCTTTCCCTCTCATGTCCTCTTTCTCTAAAACCAATAAAGGGAAAAACAAAAAAACATTTAAAAATAATGGTCATCATGCACTTCTCATGTGCATAGGACAAATACTTTATCTTGATCTGTTTCATTTAAAGTTTCATACCTAATTATAAATTGCTATTTACTTAAGTATATAAATAAGAAAAATAAAGAAGAGCAAAAGATTGTCACATCTCTTTCCTATCATCTTTAGGATTTTTTTAAATAAACAAAAAAATAGAGTTCTTTTTTTCTTTTATTGATTTTTTTATAGAGAGAGGAAGAGAGAGATAGAAACATCGATGAGCGAGAACATCAACTGGCCACCTCCTGCATGCCCCCCACTGGGGATCAGGCCCACAACCTGGGCATGTGCCCTGACCTGGAATCGAACGGGCGACCTCTTGGTGCATGGGTTGATGCTCAACCACTGAGCACCAGCAGCCAGGCTTTACAACATTTTTTAAAAGTAGAATTCACTAATTTGGGTGCAAGTCAAAGAAAGTTAAAATGTCCAGGGAGAATTTCCATTTGTGGTCACAGACAGCCTGCATACTTCCTAACTACTGCTTACCTTAAAAGAATGTCATAGTCCTTTGTTTGTTAAAAAGTTATTTAGCTCAGAAACAATAAAAAGATCTCATTAGTCTTATTGATAAAATTCAAAAAAGCTGAATAAATTAGATTTAAAACTAATTTTATCTGTTTAAATCCAAGTTCTTTTATATAAATATAAATTTAAGTGATTTGAGCCCTGGCCGGTTTGGCTCAGCGGTTAGAGCGTCGGCCTGCGGTCCGGAGAGACCCGGGTTCGGTTCCCGCTAAGGGCACGTACCTCGGTTGCAGTTTGTCCCCGGCCCTGGTTGGTTGTGCGGGTGGCAGCCACTCGATGTGTCCCTTCACGTCGATGTTTCTCTCTCTCTCCCTTCCTCTCTCTCTCCCTCCCACTCTATCTGTACAAAAAAATGGAAAATATCCTCAGGTGAGGATAAAAACAAACAAACAAACAAACAAAAAAAATTTAAGTGATTTGAAAAAAAAAATTATATGCAGTTATACATACTGAATTTATTATATTTCAAATGTTATCAGTTGCTGCCATTTCTGCTGTTATAACTATTTTGCAGTAATATGATAACTATGTCAGACAATAATTCTCTTATGAACTTAATTGATTATGTATCATAATATATAAATTTGAGTAATAAATTGTTATGGTAAAGTCAATATAAAAATTCCCACTAGGATAACTGCATGATTGAAAAAATTTGTTAACATATCTATATTTAAAATAATTTTTATAACTCTTCAAAAAAATCCAGGAGTCAATTCCAATTGTGGAAAAGATACAGCTATTTGATGGGTGGAGGGAGAAAAATAGGAAAGAAATTCATATCAAAACATTAACTTCTTATTTTACTCTCTGTGTTTTATGAAGTCTTCTATAATATATATTACTTTTATCAACAGGAAAAGTTATTTTGAAATAATAAATACAACTGTCAAAAAGCTATAACCTAACTAGTATTTCTATGTTAATTATTAAATGGCAATTTATTTTAATGAATATGATCAAATTTTACTGCTACTATACAGATAATGTAAATGTTATAAAATTCTATAACTGAACACTGGGTTAAAAAAAGAAGTTTTATAATTGCATTTTTTCCTATTTCATTGGATTCTGTATAATAGATATTAAAAAGATATCTATTTCTAGTAATGTGCTGATATGAGATTACCAAATTCAATAAACATCACTATAACTTAAAATAGACAATAAAAATAAAAGATGTATTTATTATTCCATATTACTTATAAAATCCAGTTTATTCTATGAAACATTTTTCATGAATATAGTTTCCAGAGTAAAAAGGTTAATAAACAGAACCTACATTGAGAGCAATCAGGATGACGTCATTTATATTGACTTTGTCGGGAGAACTTGTGCAAGCTTCAATGCCTTCATCTGAAAGATACCTGTTAAAATAAAATTAATGGTTTAATATTTTCTAAAATCAAAATTAACCAAAATTATTTTTTTAAGCCAACACACGATTTTGTTCTCTAGTATGAAATACTTTACAAATATCAGGAAAAGAGCTCTGGACATTCCCTGTTTACTATGCCTGATAGAACCGAATGGACGGTGCCTATTTTTCCTCTCTTGTATCCTTAAAGGAATATTGTGTTAATACAATTAAATGTCAATATTCTTAAGGAATGTATAAGCTACACTTCACTATAATACAGATATAATATCTGACTTAAATATTTGGAAATATAGTAAACTCTTGGAGATTGAGATTGCTATAAAAATAGAACTAGAAACAACACTGTTTCAATTTAGTCCAACAGAAATGTCCTCTGTGCTACTTTCTCATATTATTTTCTCAAGTTCCTTTCTTTGCCATAATGTTCCCAGAATCCTTCAACTACTGACCCCAAGTGGCACAAAAATAGCAACTTTTTACCTTATATCTTTTACCTTTCCTCTTTCTTTTCAGTTTTTTATTCATTGTCATATTGCCCCTTGTTCTTTTATCCAGTCCAAACTAACCATACATCTATCGCCGACAATCATTAATTCAAGATTACTGAGTCTGAGGGAGGAGGGATCATTTCTACACATTCATTTATGCCCAACATGACCATTTTGAAATTCTTTGACAAATCCTACAATTCAGATTTCATCCCCCAAAAAGTCCACCTATACAAATGCCAATTAGCATCTGACATGTTTTGCAATCAGTATCAACTCCTTCAACCAAAGGGCTAGTGCTAGTCTTTCTCCATTAAAAAGATACAGGAGTACTCTCTGCCAGCTAACTCGGGCTCATTCCTGATGGCCAGCAATTCAACCCCAACATTAACTGATTTAAGACACTTGTCAGTATAAATTCTAATTGCAGACAGCAACCAAAGGGCATGTGCCTTTAGGAAACACAGATAAATGACTTCACTAAAGTAAAAGAGCAAGTGTAAAGAAATGTAAATGGAAGAGCTACAAGAACAACAAGAGATTAAAGCTGATAAACCTATGGACAAGATCAAGGAGATAAAGTCTAGAAAGTATAGATATAAGACAGAGCAAGAAAATTAGATACTAAATTTAAGACCACAAAGCAGTGCTAAACTACAATGATAAATTAAGGAAAGTAGTTAAGTAAATGACAGACAAAAAAAACAAAACAGAAGGGTTAAGTATGTAGATGAGTCTGTAAAAATAAATGAATGGGAGGCAGTTACAGCAGAACGTTAAGTGACCATGGAACACAAATGTTTGCAGTCAGCATAGATGGTTCAACTACTACTTTAATTCAAATGACTAAGTTAATGTCCTTATTATCCTGTTAATTTTTCACTATTCATAGCCATTGACTGTCACTAATGATCTTATAAATTAAGGTTTACAAATATTAATTAAGCCCTTATTTATGTGAAAAATATTATGTGATTCAGTAATAAAATTAATAAAATGATGAAAATTAAACCCCTGCCTTCAAGGAATTCAGTCGCATTCATATACAGCATAATACAATACATAAACACCTATCATTCAAGGCCAAATCAATTATAAACAAAATGTTAAAGGGTCTCAAATTGGCTAGGGTTGGGAAAGAGTACATCAAAGGAAATAGTATGAGCAAAAACATAGAAGTAAAAAAGTGTGAAACACATTCTGGAGGTAATAAGCTGGAACATTCTGGCTCGGAAATGAGGAAGAAATAAGACACAGGTATAGGTTGAGATCAATTTTAGAAAGCGACAGTACATAGTGGAATATGGGTGATATTAAATGCTGATTGAGTAATTACAAAAATAAAACCAAAATTCCTACAAAATGGGGAAATAATATGAAATAATTAATAAAATACTTCTTTTCTAGAAAGGCAACTCTTTAGCATTATAAGATTATAGGATGTCATGGAATAGATCCTTAAAAATAACCAAAGTTCACTTCTTCAATTTTACAGATGACTAAAAGGCCCAAAGTTGTCAAACTTGCCCCAAATCACAAACTGCAGTGATGCAGAGTTAAAACAAGAATGCCTCCTGACTCTCTACACACATCAGTTTCCTAACCAACTAGACACTTCAACACACAAGCACTGCAAGGCAATCTCAGTGAGCTCCAAAATATATTAAAGAAAAATCGATTTTAAAAGATCAAAGAACACTAATCATTAGAATTCAAAAATTGTTATAGCAATAAAAATACCAATCCCTACAAACTATAAAAAGGGAAAGTCTATCTAAAAGAATTCTAAAGGCAACAGCCTTAAGGGGTAGAAGAAAATCTGAAATCCATGCACAAGTCCAACATCATGTGATTTCTTTCCAATAATGCCTGTAAAATGCCTCTTAAATATAACAAATTCTAAAATGCAGCTCAGTCTCAATTTGCAAGTTTTACAAGTCTCCTTGACTCATTCTTCATATTTTAGAGAGAAAAAAAAATCAAAGAACTTGAGCCTTACTCTGTAATAATCAAGAAACAGAAGACTCATTCACAGCACTCCCAGAAACATCTGGGTGATCTTTCTGTATATACTAGACCATTTTCACAGAAGGACTAAATCTAAATTAACCATGTTTGGGATTTGCAAATTAATCATATTTTTAATAAACACTTAAAACTCCCAATATTATCAATGAATAAAACAAGTGACAAAAGTAAGTCAAATGCTCAAATTGGCTTTAAGACGCACCACAGTAATGCAGAACTGAAAGAATAAAACAACACAACATTCACAGCCTTAATGTGGTCATTGAGACAGAAAGGAACTGAGCACAGGAGCAGGCGTGCCTGATCTGATCCCTGGACACATCTCTCTGCACAGTGGACCTCGAGGTAGGATAATTATAATCTGTTCCCATGTTCCATTTTTGAGCTTGTAAAACTCAAGGGCATGGACCCTAAAGAAGAAACAAATTGTCCTGGCAGGTTTGGCTCAGCAGTTAGAGTGTCGGCACTCAGACCAGAGAGTCCTGTGTTCGGTTCCCACTAAGGGCACATACCTCCACTGCAGTTTGTCCTCGGCCCCGGATGGGGTCGTGTGGGTGGCAACCAGTCGATGTGTCTCTCTCACATCGATGTTTCTCTTTCTCTCTTTGCCGCTCTCTCCCTCCCTCTCTATCAGAAGATAAATGCAAAAATGTCCTCAAGTGAGGATTTAAAAAAAAAGGAAAAGAAAAAATGAACCCCAAGAGGGCTCTTGCTTACTAAAACAGCCAGCAAAAGCACAAGTTTTTTTCATCTCTAGTGAAGATTTTGAAAAATTAACATTATAAAACCACTCTTTACTATTATGAACTAAAAATATATCAGAATAATTTATTGACAAGCAGGGTAATAAAGAACTAAATTTCTATATGATACAGAATAGACTAACATTTCTCACTAATTTTACCTTCAAAAAATGCCATTTAAAATCACAATTTAATATGTGCTCAAAGTTTTAAAGTAAGATTTTAGGAAGTGCTTTCTTTTTCATAAATAAATGTTAAAATTCTGTCTTACTCAGAATCACTAAATTTGAAATACTAAGCAATTCTTTTTACATCAGAAGTAAACGGTTTAAAATTAGCCCAACCAGTGTCGCTTGGTGGATTGAGTGTTGCCCCATGGATGGAGAGGTCCCGGTTGGATTCCTGGTCAGGGCACATGCCCAGGTTGCAGGCTTGATCCCCGGTGGGGGGCATGCAGGAGGCAGTTGATCAATGTCATCGATGTTTCTGTCTCTCTCTCCCTTCCTCTTTCTCGCTAAGTCAATAAAAACATATTTTTTTAAAGTTTTTTTCCTTTATTAATCTTAAAGAGAAAGTAAGTGAGAGGGAGAGAGAAACAGAAACATCAACAAGAGAGAACATCGATTGGCCGCCCCCTGCACGCCTGCCACTGGAGATCGAGTCCACAACCTGAGCATGTGTCCTGACCAGGAATCGAACCGGTAACCTCTTAGTGCATGGGTCAACACTCAACCACTGACCCACACCAGCTGGACATAAAAACATATTTTTAAGAAGAGATTTAAAAATAATTATTATCCACCAATTTGGGGGAAAGGAGGTTTCCTACTACAATAATAAATATATATTCTATTAGGATCATTCAGCCCACGTACCACTACCAGGATATCTTCACCTCCTGTTCAGAAGTCATGTGGGCATATAAAACACACAACCCAAACTATAGTTCAAGGATTCCAATGGACAGAAAGCTGTGATAAAACAAATACTATGATTTAAATCTCATTTCTTTGACCCAGAGAGTAGATCATCATTACCACCTCTCACTACCAGTAAGGGAATAGAGAGCAAATTTTCCTTTGATCTATCCTCCTGAGAGCAGGTAAAATCTTGAGTCTAACATAATGAGGAGGATCGAGACAAATTGAAGAGTACATGGCCCACCTAAAGGGGGCAGCCGTAACTCAGCTCCAGTTGATGGTCTGTATGGGGACTGTAGGGGACTCAAATGGAGATGCAATATGGCTCCAGCAGTAAAGGTGTCTGGGAAAAATTGGAGTCTCTGTTTTACCTTCTGTGACTGTTCAATTCTCTGTAGCCTCAGGTTTGGCTGACCACCCAGATAACCAGAACACCACCCAAAGATAGATGTCAGGCCCCAGGAAGGAGATTAATGAATGTAGAGAGTGTGTGTAACACCTGACATTATCTGCTAACTTAGAAATGCATTGTTCTTTCTGGCGGACTGCGTGACTATCCATCATATGCTTTTACTAGTAAACCCCTATAAAAAGGAGACCCTGCCCTGGCCAGTTTGGCTCAGTGGTTAGAGCGTCAGCCTGCAGACTAGAGAGTCCCGGGTTTGGTTCCCGCTAAGGGCACGTAACTCGGTTGCAGTTTGTCCCCGACTGGGTTGGTGTCAGGTGGGTAGCAACCACTTAATGTGTCTCTCTCACATTGCTGTTTTTCTCTCTATTCTCCCCTCTCTCCCTCCTGCTCTATCTGAA